TATCAATTAAATTAAAATTGCGTCAGAAAATAACAAATTAATCAGCTGTTTGCAACATCTTGCTGGTTTTGCATTTTCGCACTTTCTTGCATATTACTCTCATTGGGAGTAGCAGTATTGGCTTACTCTCCGAAATTTGGTTACTGGCAAGTTACTGAATATATTTTTTCTGGAGAATACAAAAACACAACTTCTAGGTTCTTTGCTACGATATCTGCCGACGAGTTTGATGTCTAGACTAGTTTTTGCATATTCTATAGAGCGTGTCAGACGTGGTAATATTTTCAACTTTTCTTTCCCCGATTCGCTGTCAAATTGAGAAAGAGAAATTTCATTTCGATGTGTGAATAGCCAGAAAGACCTTTCTGTCACATTTTGGAGATAAGTTTCACAAATAAAAGCTGCAACCTGCAATTCGCTTTTCGAAAATAAAAAAACCTCATTTGACAGACACTTTACATACAATACATGCAAGGTGTGACTGCTCATGTATCTGCCTTCTGAAATTTCTCAGGCTGTCAATTTTCGAAATATATTGCATTGTCACGTCTGACAGGCTCTTATGTCTGGACAAACAAGATTCTGAAATGATAAAAGCTTGGTAAAAACCAAGAATGTGTTCGCTTTTAGGAGATACCCGCTTATTAGAGCATCCGTCTATGAGAGCTTTCACTGATATGACTGTAAATTATGGCTTCGAGTTAAAAGTAGTAAGTTACTTTGTCATAGCTATTTAAAAGTGCGCTATTTATCGAAACCCCGCAAAAAAAACTGACTACAAGTTGATTATGTTTTACCAATTGATAATCTTTTTACGCAGGGTATGCACATACACGAATGAATGTACATATGTACATAAGTAAATACGTATACATCCATGTATGCATGTAGATATTTATGTATGCAAAAGCCTCGCATTTCGCTTTTGAGTGTCATGTTGGTACAGTGTCAAGAGCAAGGACGACCAATACACTCGAAGAGAACACGAGTACCACACCACCAACGCCGCATATATGTAATCCTGCAAAAACAGTTTACTTTTTTAGATGCATACATGTGCACAAGCGTTTGTTGTGCTTGGAATATACATATTTACTTACATATTTGCTTGGCATGTGAAAAAGCGTATCCTTGCCGGCTGAGCAAAAATGCAATGCCCTTGAAATCAAACTTGTGGCAATGCTCTCAACTACGGCGACGCGCCAGCAGAAAGCTTTTTGGCTCTACCACGCCACGTGTACTTGAGAACAAAGTCGCAAATAATTTTCCCAAATACATACATACATACATATGTATATGAATGTACGACGACTATCGGCTAATAAATACCAGCCTTAGGCAGCTAAGTAAATATTTTTGGTTTAGTTAATGCATATCTGTTGCCGTGAAAGCTTAAGGAATTCAAAAACAATGCATATTAGCCGTGGCTTAAGTCGTTCAAATGCTTACATTCAAATATATTCAAGTGCAAATAATCCGGCTTTACTTAGATTTCATATGTAAACTGAAGCCATACCAAATTACAGTGGCCAAATCGCGGCTGGGTGGTGGCGGCAGTGCCTCATTTGCCACTGGCATGAACAGTTGTCTTTTGTTTGTGTGCTTTTTTTTGTTTACTGTTGCCAAATTTTCGTACAATTGCGTTTGTGAAGTGAAATATCTACATAAATGTATTTATTTGAGATTCTTTGCCTAGTGAGGTATATTTATCTGCGTATACAGGCGTGGTTTCTGCCAAAGGTGCTAAGATGTTCAGCAATAATAAGAGTCGATATATTAAAGTCAGTGGCGGATCCAAAACCCCCCAAAACCCCCCCGCTGGATCCGCCACTGATTAAAGTTCATTATCATGGTATATAAGAAATGTGGATGTAGAAAGTTATTGTAGATTTTTTTGCGTTTTTAGGATTTCTCTCTGACGTCGGGATTTCTTTAAGGACTTTGAAATTTCAAATACATAATTAATGCAAACAATTATTGAAAAAAATGCAGTGCAATGTAGACTAACAACATAGGTAAATTTTTTCATGCAGAAGGACGAAAAAGTATTGAAAATAACCTGTTCTTCTTAAATATATAGTTAGTAGTAGAATATACATATATATTAGTTTGAGTTAATTTTTCTTAACTCTTTTGAACTGTAAAAACCGAAAAATTGGACTAAAAACTCCTTTCTCATTGCTCAGCTAGTAGCTGCGGTCCTTTGTATTTCCATGATGAGTTTTACGCCTGCATGGTCGATTTGTCACAGGTATAGACAATTTGGAGTGTATTTATTATTCTTTGTCTGGCCACACACCGGTAATCGTACAGAAATTGCTTTGATATCCAGCCGTCTTCAAGGGCGGGCATTTAGGCGCGTTATAAGATATTTCTCTTTTCAGCAGCTTTTGCTTGGAATTCTTAATTCAGGTTTGCCAAGCTTAGCTGTGAAAAGGATTGCTGGTACAGTTGCGATTATCTTTGACTTCTCGAAGAATTGTTAAATTGTTAAGGTTGATCCTGATACATAGTAGGAGTTGATCATCCCCAGAAACCTATGGAAAACCCTTATTTAGATTAGTTAATCACCTCGCCATAAGATCGAAAATATTTTAACAGAAAAAAATATATAATGTACGACATCTATGCCATTCCTCAGATAAAATACAACCCCAAAACACATGATCCCGAATCGGTGCGAATTGATGGCGGCGGACGTTGTTACCCCAATTGCGCCTCAGATGTCTGGCTGCGTTCGTGCGAAGAAGAGATTGTGGAACCCATCGAAGGCCACATTAGCGGTCACATTCCCACATGGTTGAATGGCAGTTTGCTGCGCAATGGTCCTGGAAATTGGAAGGTGGGCGAAATGACATTCCAACATCTGTTCGATTGCTCAGCTTTGGTGCACCGCTTTGCTATAAAAAATGGCCGGGTCACATATCAGAATCGTTTTGTTCAGACTGAAACATTGAAGAAGAATCGAGCTGCGCAGCGGATAGTTGTGACAGAATTTGGTACAGCGTCGGTACCGGATCCATGTCACTCGATATTCGATAGGTAAGTTAAGGCGGCAGACGCATTGGGCAGATGTTTTACATATATACTTAGCTTTAGACCAAATATGTTGATCTGTTATTGCATACTGAAAATCTTTTCACTTCCTAGAGTATCTGCAATATTTCGACCTGACAGCGGTTCCGACAACTCCATGATATCCATTTATCCATTCGGCGATGAGTACTATACATTTGCAGAAACGCCCATGATACACAGGTACTTTGCCTTTTAAATTTATTTATATGTATTTTTAACCAGTCGAAGCCCTTTTGAACTTTCTCAATGTTACTCCACTTGTACAGAATCAATCCGCGCACACTCGCCACCGAGGGCCGCATCTGCGTGACTGATTATGCGGGTGTGGTAAACCACACCTCACATCCGCATGTGCTGCCCAATGGCACGGTGTATAATCTCGGCATGGCCGCCACCAAATCAGGACCTGCCTATAATATTATTTGCTTTCCACATGGCGAGCAAATGTTTGAGGATGCTCATATCGTGGGTGCGATTTCTTGTCGTTGGAAGCTGCATCCTGGTTATATGCACACATTCGGTGGGTGGCGCATGCGCATAAAATGATATAATTTACATACATATATACTAAGTAGTTGACACTTGCCAACAAATTCTAATTTCACAGGCATTACGGAGCATTACTTTGTTATCGTTGAGCAGCCACTGTCCGTTTCGTTGACGGAATTCGTCAAAGCCACTGTATCCAATGAGCAACTCGCCTCGTGTCTGAAATGGTTCGAGGATAAGCCAACGCTGTTCCATTTAATGGATCGCAAAACTGGTAAAGTACGCTACACTTTTCAATCGGAAGCTTTCTTCTATCTACACATCATCAATCAGTTTGAGGAAGACAACCACGTAGTGATCGACATATGCTGCTATAAGGATCCGGAAATGATCAATTGCATGTACTTAGAGTCCATTGTGAATATGCAATCGAATCCGAACTATGCGTCACATTTTCGTGGACGCCCATTGCGGTTTGTGCTGCCCTTGGGCGCCGAGAATGCCGATGTGACGGTGTTCAAAGAGCGGCCAACCAATCAGCGGCGTGTGGCGAAATCTTTCTCGCTTTCGGGCATAAGTACGCGCCTGCAGCCGCCACCGAAGATGAAGCACTCCGAGTCGAATTACGAGGATGTAACAAAAATGGCTCTTAAAAAACTGGAGGAAGAGGAGATGCTAGAGTACAGCGTTGGTGCTGACGAAAGAGAGCAGGCGAAAGAGAGAGTCGACGGTGAAACAATGATCAATTTAGTCACATTAGAGTATAGCACGGCAGAGGCGTATCAGCTGAGTAATCGAAGCATACTTGTGCGACCAGAGTTGCTTTGCGATTGGGGTTGCGAGACACCGCGTTTACACTACGACAAGTTTTTGGGTAGGTTTAATGGTTTCGTGCCTGTGTGGGTTTCATTGCTTATTTGAATTGATTTTTTAGGTAAAAAATATCGCTACTTTTATGCAATTAGTTCAGATGTGGATGCTGAAAATCCAGGAACTGTAAGTATTTCATTTCATAGTTTCCGTGTCTCTACATTCAGAGCTTACATATACTTGTATGTACTTTTATATTTCCGTATCTGCACAGCTCGTCAAAGTCGATGTGGAAGCGAAAACCATAGAAAAGTGGTGCGAACCGAATTGTTACCCCAGCGAGCCGGTATTTGTGGCCGCGCCAGATGCCCAAGACGAAGATGATGGTGTGGTGTTGGCCTCTATGGTTTGGGGTGGCTTGAATGAGAACTCCGTGGGACTGCTGGTGTTGTGCGCCAAAACATGGACTGAGCTGGGACGCTGCGAATTTCATACCAGTGGGCCAGTGCCAAAATGCCTGCACGGCTGGTTTGCGCCCGGTGTGGTGTAAATTACCCAAACAATGAAAGTTATTCACAATGGTACGGAGATCAAGCTATTTTGGCTAGGCATTCCGTTTAAGTGAAATTATTAGAGTTTTTATTAAACCAATACGCGTCTTAATTATATATGTAGTTATAAATAAAATACTGCTTTGATAAATATAACTTATCTACTTAGTTAATAAATATTAATTTAAAATTTCAAGTTAATCACATTATAAATGAATTCTTCCCATTTCTTCTGGAAGACGCGATTAATTTTGCGACGCTCCTCAGACGTTAAGATGGCATACCTATTTAGTATAAAGAAGATAAAAACGTATATCATTTCATTTTAGTGAATTATTTAGTCCCATACGAGTGCATACTTTATTGAATTCAAAGCGAGCTGTTTGAGAAACCGCAAATCCGCCTCAGCTGGCGCCAGCGCCATGAAGGTGTAGTAGAAATCGTAGCTCAAACCTTTTGAATTCCACATGCCCGGGTAATCGGCCGTTATGACAATCGGAAAGTTTTCGGCTATAAGAAATGTGGCCGGGTGGTTGCGCAAATCCCACACAAGACCCATTACCTGATTCGAAATCGGACTAACTTCGATGGCAATGTTACGTTTCTTGACGGTTGACCAAATGTTTGGGTGCTTTGGCAGTGCATAACCATGGCCAATGCGTTTAGTGTTGAGCAGTAGTGCGTCTATGAGATTCCAATCGGTTTTGCCAAACCAATCTAAATGGAAAAGGAAATGTTTAATAATTATTGTGAGAATTTCTGCAAAGGAAGAAAGTGATAATTGATAAAATAAAATATACGAAGTTATGGTAAAATCAAACAGAACACCGAATATCATCGCTTTCGTTATCGGCATTAGCAGCGTGGCTGTTACTTGCCTTATCGATATTTTTATTATGATTCTTGCCGTAGATGTCCTTAGTTTCTATTAGGTTTATCTGGTTACTGGTAGTACTACCAGCAAACCCCCTCCAACAATGTAGCCCTTTGCAATACCACAAGGATCGACAGCCCCGAGTCTTCTATAAAACCAATTCTTAAAGTCAACAAACTTGAGCTGTTGCCGTGTGCTTGCCGCTTCGTTTAGATCATTCAAAAATCCTGCATCCAAAAATTATTGCGTCTTGCAACAGCTTCAAGCTCGTTTTCATTAAGACCGCTTCTACATAAGCACGAGTCCCATACTGTTTGTCTTCGTATACATATGGGGAATGCCAAATCTTTCTCCACCTGGTCTTTCCTTTGCCTACATTCGTACGTTACGACCCAACACACGCGTAAAAGCCTCGAAATCTTCCGTAAAATCTTTCTCTCGAATACTGCAAGGGCCATCTCATAGGACGTTGTCATTTTCGATACTTTTTCATCATATACCAGCATTGACATGATGAGTGACCTGTAGAGTGCGTTCAGGGAAGACTCCGTAACGATAGTTATCTATTTTTAACCGACTTAAAAAAAGGAAGAGGTTATCAATTTGTTGGATTATTATTATTTTCGTACGTTACCGCATAGCTTTGCACCATGTTAACCGATTTTTCAAAGGGAAGGTGGTAGCTCAGGGTTGGTGCCATTCTAATTTGGTTAAGATCCGATCATTGGATCATGAAGAAATTAACGGTACTCTTAGATTTTTATATGAGAATTGAAGTCGGGTTTGTTTTTTGTTTAAGAATTATTTGTTTAGTTACAGAAGATCTTGATCTTTCTCTTATACATACCACACACAGCAACGTGTAGGTTTGTCCTGTCCGGAAGATTTAGGGGTTGGTAGATTTTTTTACGCAAAATGATTTTTTTGCACTGTGCGCCATACAGAAGGGCTAACAACTCCTGCTTCATTAAGAGAGTTCTTTTCATACACATGAACGGAAAATATTGTAATCTTTTTATAAAGCAGCATCCAACTTGATGTTGGAATTAGAGATGGGGCGAGTCACTAATATTCAATTCCGATTCCGTCCATGCCGATATAGAATTTTTATGTTCTGAACCCACCCATCTTGTCGTCTCTCAGGTCTGTTCTCGTGGGTTCCACTAAATAAAATTCGCATGACCTTCAAATTGCTTTTATATAATATACTTGAATAATTTTTTTTCTCGAACATTTTAGTACATTTTTTTAATATTTGGATGTTCCGACTTTTATTGGGAGTGCCGGCAAAGGATTTGCTCCCTTCCCGACAGCAAACTTTTAAAGGCTTTGCCGATACCGCCCATCCGGGCATTTTAAAACTGGGACCGTGGGTTCTGCGGGCACCGATTTTCCGTGCCCATCTTTAGTATACGAGTATCCCTATTGAAATATAGTCTATGCACAAACTTACTAGTCTCGCCCGCGTGAAAGAAAAAGTTGGCAGTTGATGGCATATCTGTTAATTCATTGACGAATTTGTGCAGCGGATCGCCGGCATCTTCCTGCCCAAGCAAATCAAAGCCAATAATAAAATTTGGCTTGGCATCACTGCAAACAAAAAGTTTACCGTATAAATATTAATCAGTATTTCGAAAGGAGTCTGTATTTACTCACTGCAGTTGCTTAAAAGTTATTAAGTGTTGTGCCATTTCATCCACAGATGCCTCGTTGGGCTTTGTATAGATTACCTTGAGTCCCACAAAATCGGGGTGACGCGCCTTGAAGCCCTCAACGATTGCCTCCATTTCACTGGCAACTGCAAGTGCATTGAATGTGCGATTGTTATCGCCATAGAGCTAGCAATATTTTTTTTGGATCAAAAGTGCAAATGGGCAACAATATTAAAAGCTTTAACTCATCTCTCAAACGGCAAATGCTAGAACATACCGGTGTCAGTGGCGTTCTCAGTTCTGCATAGAATATATTATCCTCACATAATTCTTCCAGCAATCGTTTGTGATAGTTGCAAAATGTCGGCTGATAATTGTAAAAATTCTCTACACTCTTAAATATACTTTGGAAGCGTTGCCAAATTTTGCGTTTATCCGTAATCATGGCTGCAAATATTGAAAATAATAATTAACTTAAAACTTTGTGTAAATGTATCTTCATTTTCGCTATTTCCACCTACATTCCGGATGCACCGTGTACATATTAATGTGTTTCTCCAATTGTCGCTCGTAAAGTCGCCGATCCTCAGCATTGATGCGTTCCAAACAAACATTTTGCACTTCACTGTGGCACTTGCTCTGCTCATAGGTGAATATAAGCAATCCACTCAGATCACGGCAGGTATACAGATTATAGAGGGTAGTTAAATTGCTGATAATCCAACGAGAACTGACCATGCCGGTATTGTGGCCATGCAACAGCGCCCCCTTGGGTAACTTTTGTATGATGCGAAATACTTCGCTCTGACGTAAATACTGTTTGCCTTGAAAGAAATGCATTGCCGGTGGGAATTTCTCGGGTGTCTTGAAGCCTTCAGCTAACTGTAGACGATTTTGAAATGTTAATTTTAATTGCCTTCATAACATTATTGCGCTCACCTCTGCTCGCTTGGCGTTCATTAATATGCTGTTCGCCTTGTCCTCCGCCGATGTTAGCCAAATATTGCCACCAACTGCAGCGGAGCGTTCAGCATCTATGATTTTGTTGCGGAGTGTGTCATATGCTGTTTGCAAAATGAGACAAAAAATTGGAATATTTCATTTTAATCAAGGACTAATGAACGATCGGCAAAAGCCACAGCTGTTCTATGGGCTGCTGAATGAATACTGGTAACTTTTAAATATTTTGAAGAATATCATTGTGGTGTTTGTTGTCCCTCGAAAACCAATTAAATCTTGCGCTTTTTCAACTGATCTCTTTGGGAAAAAAAGAAAAATTCGGCATGGCTATTTTACGTGTCTACGACGCTTTAGTTTCCGTGTGAAGTGAACTTTACAGACAGGGTGACTCTCTTCGTGTGATTTCTTTAATCTGATGTTGGAGAAGATAATAAGATCTGCAGAACTGAACGGTTCAATAACAATTTTGTTTACAGGTAACAGGTTTACATTGCCATCATCGGCAAAAATAAACCGCTAAGTCTGTTCCGCATTTTCCAAGTTGGATATGAGAGCATAGCGATTCAAAGAGAAGACGAAGTATCTCCTCTCAGTAGCTGTTAGCAGAGCTATGCCGTTGCGCTGACCCAGAGAAAACATAATTCATACGGCCAGGAATAACCAAAGCTGAATGGATAAAAAAACCCATGACTATCCAGTTAACAAAGTATATTGGAGCCATACACCCAGCTTATTCCTGACCGAGCATCGACCGAGGATCGGATCTCACCCCCAATTTGAACCTTATATAGAGACACCTTTCTTTACAATCTTCAGAAATTGGATCAGAGGTGGCGTACTGTGACAGACTGTCGTATATCCGAACTTATGTGGCCTATGACGACTTCTCTAGAAGCCGCAGAGACGACGACGAGCGGGAGCACCTTCTTTGTAGATGAGGAGCAGAAATACCATACTAGGAGCATATGAGTTTACATCGTTACGAGAACTATCTGATATAAGTCTCCACAACATAGTCAACTTTATCAACCTCGCAGGTTGGTTCTCACCTGGTAACCTATCTCCTGTCATCAAACAAACAGTTAGCGTATTCGCGCCCTGGCCACCACGGCACAGTTGACAGTTATATGTAATAAGTAGAATTGCATAGTGCAGCTCCGACGCTCCAGCCCTGAAAGTATTCAACTTGTAACCCGCTGGTGGCAGCAGAGGAAGAGGGAGGCCGCCACTGCGATGGAAAGACTACACGTTAAAAAGCCAAACTAAATTTGATCAATAAATAAAATAAAACATTACAAAATGTTGTTAAGTCAAAGAGTCCAACCATCTCTCTCTCAACCATGTCTAAAAGTCGAATTAAATATAATAGGTTACTTAATGAAATATTACAGTATGGCTGCAAAACATTCTTTCCACTAAAAGTACATTATTTTAGAAAATATAAATGACATCAGTTTACTTTCTGGGTACCCGGTCACAACCGATTGCGATTCCACTTGCACCGAATAGGTATGACCGCAGTGTGGGAATGCCGGTTCTGCCTTAAAGATGATGAAACTTCAGAGCATATTCTATGTTACTGTACGCCTTGGTTCAGATTAAGATTGATCCATTTCAAAGCTTCAATGGTCGAACCCTTTGTTTTGTTTACATGTAAAGAATTCGCCCACAAAGGGCCGCTCAGGCTTCATTAGGCAAGCCGAAGGTATCTTGGCAACACTGGGTTAGGGGTACTCCCTTTAACAGAAACAAAAGAACTTTCAGATGGGTGTCTCTTGTTCTGTTACACCTAAGAACTGACTAACTAACTAACTATATGGTATGCGTAATAGCTAGCTACGAAATGAAAGTTTTTTTTTAGCTGAAATGGCCAATTTACTAGAAATTCGACACTTAAAAAAAATACATATTTTTAATACTTTCGATAATAAAATTTATTTTATTTTTTGTTACATTTGAAATCATAACGTTAAACTGAACTTAACGCGGGCGGTACTGCGTTCAAAAGCTAGTAAATCCATAAATGTGTGTGTGCATTGCAAATGTGTGCAATTTAATTTTGCGATTGCATAGAGAAATTTTCACTTTCAGTTTTTGTATATTCATACCCTGCAGAGAAATCGCGAACTAGCGCATCAAATTTCTAGTTCCATATTAGATCTTTATCGGCAAAAATGAACCAGTCCGATAGTAACTAGATCTTCACAAGTTCAAAATCCGCGAAATGTGGTACTTTAAAAAAAAAACTATTTTATTTCAATTTTTTCATTAGAAATCTATATCGAAGGTGACGAATTTAGAACTGGTTCGGAATTATCGAGAACGAAGTGCAGCAGCGGGCAATTTACATTTCCTAGGACATCGCCATGTGAAATTTGCCAGTTGTTTGCATGCAAAAGAGATTTATCGCACACCAGTTAAGAACTGGAGATTTTCCAATCAGGGTAATCATTTGTTTGTGTACATATTTATATATGTCATATGTAAGCAAGTTGTGCATATGTATGTATGTATGTATGTCCATGAGTATCTCTGCCTCTCTGCATGCACTTTACATAAATTTTAAAATAATTCCATTTAGACACTCATGGTCATCGCAATTTTTCAATTTCATAAACATTATTTTTCATGATCGCAGTGACCAAGTTGTAAGATAATGCAATTCCTAAAAATTTAGCGGTTTCTATAACGGTCTGAAAAAATTAATATAATTTTTTTAATTTCACTAGATTTTGGCTTGATATCTGGTAAACTTGTAATATTATTGAAACATATTCGTATAAATTCACAAACTAACTGAGTTATAGCTGGTCAAATGGTCAAAAAAAATGTTGTCGAATTTTTTCGATTGAAAATAATATAAAATTTTTTCAATTCTCGAATTTTCGTGGAGGCCTTTAATTTGTAGGTAAGTAAAAATAAAAGGTGTTCCCCATGATGTTTATATTTTAAGGACCACCCTACACCATGCATTTATTTTTCATTGTTTTATCATTTTTAAGCAATTTTCTCTTACATATTTCGGCACATTCGATGACAAAAAGTACGGATAAGCTAATTGTAAGCCATAAAACCGATATTTTGCGCATTTCATATAACTCTTTTTTTTTATTTAAATGTCAGCAGCTTCAGTTGTTAATATTTTTATTTTTTTTTAAGTTCTATTAAATGTATCCTTTAGTGTATATCCTTCAAACCCACTGGCCCAACGACCGCTGTTGACTTTCCTAACCGTTCCGTACCGTTTCACAAATGCAACTGAAGCAGATAGTGCAAATTGCTTACAAAATATGCCCAACAATGCGAATATTTGCGCTAATCCGGCTTTGCAGTCCACCCTCTCCAGCTGTGGCTGTGTGGATAATCCGAGATTGACAATTCAAGAGTAAAAGTAGGTTTCATTTACTTAGGGCGTACATACATACATATATACAAACTTACCTACATATGTACATACATATGAACATACTTTCGCCATCCACCCACACACATCGTAGTTGTTGTTATCGTTTACATAAATCGTTGCCTATAAAAAGTATGCAAAAGCCAGCATTGCAATTTAAGTTTCAGTTCAGTGTCAACAACAAGAACAAAAACAAGAACAAGAACAAAGATTGACAACAATATGTACTGTACTGAAAGTATCATCAGCTGAGCTGTGTTGAAAGCCACGCGGATCAGTTATTTAAATAGCTTTAATGCTATACTCGCATCAAAATACATACATATGTACATACATACATACATACACCGAGCATATGTAAGTATGTATCGCCCATTGACCGTCACCCAGTAAAGGAGGCAATGAATGAATGAATGAAATTTCGCTGAATGACTACGCTAACGATGAATGGTCACTAGGTATGTATGTATGTGTGTATGTGTGTATGTGTAGGTATACCTACTATAACATTTTGCGTTTTTATGCCCACTAATGATGTTATGATAGCGGTGTGGGAGTAGATACTGCCCACCCACCACATGCAATCTATGGGGAGGCACGTTCTTCTCTGCTCGTCGATTACTTGTTATCAAATTTCGTAATGTAATTGTGAAGTCAAGTTCAGCCGAGCAATTTGTAGTCAGTCACTTTTAACATTTTATTGGTTGCCATGTTATTGTTGTTGTTGCACAAATAGCTTTTATTTCTATGTCAATATATTTGCATATGTATGTATATGTATGCATTTATTTAGTTGGTGTGCTTAGGAGAGCTTCCTATTTTTAGTATTTTGGTATAATGTTTGTAAACAAAAACTATGTATGTACATAAGTGTAACGTGGATAAATACACGTTCAATTTAATATTCGCTACACTGCGAAAAATACACGACATAAATGGCTAACAATTTTATATATACACTAACGATGCCCGCGATTCCGTCTGGGTAGCTTATTTCTTTTCCATATACTACTGGCAGCAGACTTTCAAAGCTAAAAATACAGCTTTGATGAATTAAAAAAAAAAAATTACCCGCAGTCGCAGTTACGATGAAGTTGAATTTTTCCTCAACTTTCATCGACTTTTTCGCAGTATATTTTAATTTCATCTAAACCGTACTATAAATAGAGTTTTTCTGATTAACTCGACTCTAGCGCCACGAGGTGCCAGTCGCACCCCAGTATACGTTTCTAATTTCATCGATATCTTTACTTTTACTATAATAACTGTACAAAAGTCGTGTTTGTACATTGAAATTTATTTTCAAAAGAATGACCGATGGTGATGCAGGGAATACATATAAGAGGACACATCCTATAGGCGTGAACTTTTTAATAAGCTATAACTTCGGAACCAGAAGTCACATTTCTTTGAAATTTGGTGTGAAGATCTATGGTAAATGCATACAAATGGGTTTCCGACAGATGGCGTTGGAGTCGAGATCGTTACATAATTCGCTGGAATCAAGATATTTAGATACCCACGGGAAGATTACGCACAATGTGAATTATCGTCTAAAAAATTATCTGACATCAACCGACTAACTTTTAATTCAGGCCTTAAATATGATATCTGGGTTCCAGTTTAACCTGTAACAAAACTTGACCATAGATACGAAATAAGTATAAAAATATATTTACTATACACTGGCCGACAAAATTACTTCTTTTTAGGCCTATCGGTCTGTCTTCGATTTTGCTAAAAACGATTGAGAGACTGAACATAAGAAACGCGATTCCAAGAGCTCAATATGATTATTGCAATAAAAGGTCGGCGGATACCTCCCTGCACACATTGGTAAAGTGGTTAGATGAAGCCTTCACGCATAAAGATTATTCAGTCGGGGCCTTCTTCGATATTAAGAGAGCCTTCAACAATGTCACTCCAAAGGAGATAGTCTAGTCTATTCATAACCTGGGGGTTGAAACTTATGTAATAAGTTTTATCTACAGCTTACTTCATGACAGAACTGCCGTAGAGGAGTGGGGGAGCGCAGAAAATTAGATTGTTACAAATTTTTGGATAATGGGCGTGACGCCGCCCCCTTATGACCACAAAGGTGTATCTCGGTAACCGATTTATCAATTTGAATCGTTAAAAACTATTTAAATCAGACAAAAATTACACCCGTTTTTCGCATGACGGTAAATTTCAGAAATACGAAAACTTCGATATTTCAATAACACAAATGGAGGACACAAATTTACTCCATGTGAATAGTTACAACAATCTCTTAACAATAAACAAGACTGCTGTAGACTTTAAGAAATTGAAACCATATGAAATCGAATGCTAAGGAAACGTACATTTTACGTTTTTGCTGGCTGGGTATACTTCCTTACAGGATGGAGTTGTGATAGTGTTTTGGTAAATGAACGATATGTGTGTATATGATAATATGATATATGTTACAGCATTTAGTAGACACATTCATATGTATGTATATCTATTATTTTCAAATGTTTAAATTAAAAATTGCAAATTTTCTAATTTAAATGGTGATTTAAGAAAAACTGAACTTAGTTTTCAAACAATTTACATCAAGTACAAAACGCTTAGACGCATTTTCGTTTTTTATTTTATTTCAAACTAACAACTATTTCAGTAATAACTGCATTACAGTGCGTGTGTATCAGCCAAAGGTAAAAAAAAATCACACTTTTGCATAGAACCAAACCCAATTAAAAGGTTCGCACATTAGCTGAGTAAATGAATTTGCTACCAATTTCGAATACAAAGTCGTCATCAGAGGAGTCAACAAACCGTGTACGAGCGTCGCATAAGAATGATGTTGTCGTGCTTACATACATATGTATGTATGCAAGTACATATGTACATATGTTTGTGTGGTTGCGTGTGTAATAATTTTTTGATTTAGACAAATAGTTAATTTGTATGGCATGCAAAAAAGGCAACGGTAATGCAAAAAACACTACACGAAAACAGAAATCACTTAACATTCTAGCAACTTGACAAATTAAAAAAAAAAAAACACAGCTTTGGAGAGGTGAGTGTGCGCGTGGGTGCTTTTCAGGTCGAAAGCTTGTAGTGCGAATTGTGATTTGTGTGAGTTTGTTAATGATGAATAGCAATAATGACATAAAAAGCGTCACACACAAACACATGTCAACAAATATTAAGTAATGTGTAATGTGCAAGTTTGTATTCTGGCGCTTTATTAAGGAAATATTAACAAATTACAGCATGCGAGCTGTTGGCGGCAAATGACATTTACGAAAAAGAAGACAATTAACTTATAATGATTACATAATTCCTGTCTTGGATTCATTGTGTTGTTTTTACACAAATTGCACACATATATATGTACATTAGAATGATCCGAAAATACGCGCGTGGGGGAAAAGTTGAAAATGGTAAGCTCTCACCCCTAGGATTCTTCTAACGCTAAAAAATGCATTACGGGACCAATAAAAAGTCATTAGTATTCAAAAATGGTGAAATAAACAATTTGGTATTATTATTGGACGAATTACATATACCATTTCTACGAAAAAGTGTTCTTCCCATATGAAATATATGGGACAGTTCATGGGCTTTGAAGCAGTTCTAAATATAGTTTTTTGAAAAACGTAAAAATACGGGTATACCTTTTATTCATTTAGGAGAATCCTAGGTGTGATAGCTGAAAATTTTAAAATTTTTGGACCACCCTAATGTACACATTTTTGTGTAATTTTTTATTTAGAGTGCTTAGCACATACTGCATACTTTCATACATACATATTGACAATTCCGCCTTTGTATCCCTAGCATTCCCAAAGTCTTCCGTTTGTTCATCAATGATCTCAAAGCAAGCTTGAGAGTAGAACGCTAAATACAATAGTCTATAGCCGTCATCCCTGCTGTTAGAACTCCATAAGCAAGTGTACTGCGCTGGGCATGCCTGGCCTAAAGCCTGCTTAAAGACAAGAATAACTTTGATATTACTATGTAGAAAAAATATCTCATATTTAGGCTCCATGAATAGATGGTGTGTCTGACTTGCGAGTTTTCTGTGTACGTGTTGACTCGTCTTCCGACTACACGCTGTTGAGTCATTTAGATTCATGCCAAAGTCATGTCGTTGTAACTAACACCCCTGCAAAAAATTGTGCAACAAATCTCTATAGAGAGTATTCCGAGATTACTCTCAATCGGGTACAATTGGGCATTAATTAGTCGCAACTAGTCTTATACGGGTACTAATGGAGGCCAATTAGTCTCGACTCATCCCTTATGGGTATAATTGGAGATCAATTAGTCCCCAACTCATCTCTAACGGGTACTATTAACGATTTAATGATATGTACGCACTTAGTCAATGAAATTTCATGTGCGGCGTTGGCACACAGAGAGAGTATTCGCCTAACAAAACTGAGCACCCCGGTTCGAATCTCAGCTGGCGCAAATTTTTATTTTTATTTTTTAAAAGTGACTAGTCGCTTTTTTACCCGTTCGGGTATAAAGGTGAACAATTAGTCTTCTCATAGGACATGCTCGAACAAAAGCGATCAGTTCATTCCATATAAAGAGATCGAAAGTGGTATTAGTCGCATGCTCCTTTGCGATTGGTCCCGGAGTCATCCCGGGTTAGTCCCATTTTTTGCAGGGA